TCATTAGCGGAATAAAATAAAGGGATATTATGATAAACACTGATTTCCAATTCGAAATAAACTATATCATTAGTACGAATATTACTAATACAAAGATATTTTAAATATGTAAATAACTTTATTATAAAATTATTTTCGAGTTTCCGATATAAATTAAAAATTTAAACGAAAAACGCTTCAGGCCAGAGCAGTCATAATTCTTTTGTAAACCTTCCAACCCGTCCTTTTTATAAGTCTGCCAACTTTCAAAATTATTTCAATACAGAGGTTTAAAGGATGTCACATTAATAACAACGTTAGCAAATATTTATTCAGCGAATAATATCTTTTTTTAATTTCACATTTTTTGGAAGAAAGTTGCATGATTTAATACACCTTTGATTAAATAAACTTGCATAAATGTTATGACTGATTAGCACATAACTGACTTAATTGTTTCTTTCAAGTTTAGAAAAGCAGAAGGATTATTTTCTTAAGCCGATAGATAATTCGGGGATCATCCACTCGACAAAATGAAGATATCACAGTGGCATTTCTTGGCTCATCGAGTTCTTTTAAATTTTTTATTATGTCAAGCAACTAATCAAACTGAGAATGTTATACTGTTACATTAAATTAATTCCGAATCTCTATCTTTCCAGATCTCTTCAAATAATGTTTCATTATCAAGGATTCAATTTTCTCCCTTTTTTTGAAAAGAATGTGTAAATATCATCTGTCGTGATGACGAAATTTAATTGGTCGTTTAAATGCAGTGTTTATTCTATAATCTGGTTTATCATGTTTTAAAATGGCTTTACCTCTAATGAAAGTGTAATTTCCAGAGTGCCTCACTAGTGTCCATGCAAAACTGAACAACTGAAAAACTTAATTCGAAAAACTGTTTTCCTCCTTACTGCAGCGGTTTACCGTTATACCTTATATGTAGGGTTGCATGCTAAATAGATTGCCCCACTATTAAGAACACAAAGAAAAATTTGTAATAAATCACAGCGCGATGAAATATGACGTGACATATTACAAACTTCGTACCTTACGCAATAAAATTACAGAAATATCAATTGAGACGCTGCGTGAATGAACACTTTCCTTTTTATCCTTTCTCTTCCTTCTATACCGGAGACAGCGTTTCTTGTAGATGGACATTATTCCGGAATTTTCCCATTAACCATAATCCGCTTTTGTTGATGTTATAAAATTTTTAAAGATGAAAATTAAATATAAGGTTAGCACATGCAAACCGTTTGTTTAAAGTCGAATCAGAAAGCCAACGGTTGGTGGCGTGTTATTTGGGTTACAATTTCCAAACTATTCAAAGAGGCATTGTACATGCTTAACAGTTTATCTGGATGGAACAATCTTAACAAATATGAGATATTTCAACAGGCTCACATCATTATGAAGAACAGAGAGATGAGCTTCGATCATTAGTAATACATTTTGATTTTACGATGAAATGCCATTTTTAAAAAGTATAAAGAGACGTTGCCCTATTACATTTAAAAATTTTAAAATAATTCGTCGCGTGCATCTTTTCATCAGCTGACTCACATAGAAGTCCTGAAGTGCAAAAAAAATTGTTTGCCGTCCTTGTTTGCCATCGGCGATGCTTTCTCTTTCTCCATTGAGAGCACCCTGCTCTCTGCACTCTCGGAATTTACCGTCTCGGTGCATTCTCCCTCCCTGCACTCACTCTGCATGAAGTAGCATGAGCTAATCAAGAACATTTCAACTGTTCTTAAAAGATTCACTGCCAGTAGAGCATAATTCCCTTGTCACTCACCGCTTTTCATGAACCGCTCCAGCTGTGCGAAATTTCCAGACGCGTGAGAGAAACGAAAATCCCCAAAATCTGTTACAAATATATCCTTTTCCCTACCGTGATGCCAACAATAAAATGACATTTCATGTTAGCAAATCCTTCCCGATTTTAACTTCAGATTGAATTTTTGATATCCTTACGATCGAGAATCAGAAGAAAAGCCTCGCCGGTTTGCATATATTTTCAGAAATGATCTGAGAATCGATAATGATGCGAGAAAGGTTATCCGTACTGTATGACAATCATTATCAGCAGAACAGGAAGCACTGGGAACACACAGATAGCACCGCCATCTGTCAGTATTAGTTCTTATGTGCAGGAAGAATGCAATTTCGTGGCAGCCCATCGCCCGTCGTCTCTTTCCCTTCGCCTCCATTCAAATTCTGCCACATTCATTTGTCGGGAATTTCGCTTCCTACCGCTCTGAGGTTACTTTCTGCAAATTGATCGGGCGATTTCCAGCACTGATAGGCATGACAGGGAATAATGACTCTCTTCTTTTTCCACTCTCCTACCTTTACCATTAGCAAATTTCAGTATCAATCAATAAAATGCCATCGTTCCACACATATGTTTATATATGTATACGTATGCTTACGCGTCCCTATCACTACATATTTACTAACATTCGATTCGGTAAATGTCATTTTGCTTTGTGAATCGCTGGAAAAAAAAAATCGGATAAGGGAGAGGAGATAAATATGCCGCAATGTCCACTTTACTGCAACCTTCCCATTGAATGAGTGGTGCTTTTCGGTGCTTCTCGAGTCAAATTTTAGTTTCCCGATGTAAATTGTGAAAGAGCGGGAGAATATTTAGGATTTTGTAAATCACTGCACATGAATGTCCTCCTTCCCCATCATTTTCTTCTACTTTATGGAAGACTCGGGAGGAGATGAATAATGGTAGCTAGCCTGAGGCAATCTAGATAGACACTAACGGCACCCGACAGAGACGTCAGGCACCAACACTGACAACCAAACGGTCGGTCCCTATGCTGCTATCACATGAATCCTCTGCTGTGTTTGTTATGTATGGGGAATGAGTGGTGATGATATTTGCAATGGTTCAGCGCTATTTTCGATTTGTTTACGTAATGTTTACGTCACATATAGAACATGTAAGACGGCAGATCGATCGCTGTTGAATTGGATGATACGTCAATTTGATTGTAATGTTTGGACGAGACTGCTTTCAAGAAGTTTCATTGCCTCTGCGCTGTTAATTTGATTTGATCCTTCGGTCAAATTTATTAAGCCGTGCCAAAATGTGAAAACACTTCCTACCACATATGGACTGACAGTCCGAGACGGGATTTCACATTATAGATGAAAGTGATGCAGCGCTGTGTCGTTCTATTACTGTAGGCATTGTCGGAGGATCCTTGGCCTATGAGTTTCAACAAGTAGCTAATAGACTGCTAAAAGAAACAATATATTAGTGGAGCAGGACTCGGCAACAGCCCGCATATCGATTGGCATTTCGGTTTTTTTTTCTCATTTCTCTCGCGATTCCAAACTGAGAAAGCCTCATTCTGCGTGGGACGAGTCAGATTTTATTAAGTTTAAATTTTGAAATATCTGTTAAGAGTGGGTTCCAGACCTTCCAAATTTTGGAAAGCAAAATGGGATTTCTTTAAAATCAGTTGGTCGAGAATGAGCTTGACATATAACTATCGTACAATTTTTATTTCGTCTTGCTTTTCCCCCACTCATTGGATTTAGAATAGATGTTTTTAAGTCCGAAGAATTCTAAGCAAGCCGATAGTGGTCCGAAATTTATCAAAGATGTTTGCAGTGTAGTCAACTCCCGTATTTCCTGCCCAGTCTTTCGTCCGCCCTTACATTGTTTTCTCTTCCTCTGTACATCCTCTACATTGCTTTATTGAACCTTTTGTGAGAACAGTTGTGGAAATACACGAAGAAATTTGAAATTATTTTAAAGCGTCCGTTAAAAAATTATTTGACCTTATTTTATCGAGCAACTGCGATCGTTTCAGTGATAAATTTCTACTCAGTTTGAAAGTATGTTTCTAACTGTATTTGTCACTAGATAGATTCTGCTTTATAGAACTTTGGATGTGTGACATTATCCAGTTCTTTACGAAAATCTTTCACTTGTAATAAAAACCATAATATTCGTTGTAAATCTTTTAATTTTGCACCAACTCTTTCCTTCCCTTCTGTTGTTAAAATTTACGGTGCGGATGACACGGGTTCTTTAAGGTTTGTTTGCTTTTCAGTAATTGTGGAACATCTTCGTTTTCGGATCTCATCAAACATTCCTCGTCAGCACTTCCTAGATATTTTTATTCTTCTCTTCACATAATGTATATCCGTTAAATACGCTGTTTCGCTTCTCATCCCTTTATCACGATGAATTCTCGAATGTAGCAGGTTTTTGTGTACAAGTATATTCGGGTCTCTCTTGCTTTTGAAATTGTTCATCACCATGTCTGTCTATATGATATTAAAAAAATTGTCATGGAACGGTTCTCTTTTTTGCTGGCTCTATTGTATGAAGCCTTTTTACATATAGTTCTAATGAAACACAAAATCCTGTTCCATCCTTTCATCACTTCACTGAACGCATTTCTGCTTAACTAGTGATGCTGTGACTGATTCATCAAACCTTTTATTTTCCCCCACCATCGTTATTCTGCTGTACATAGTAATGTAAATTCCTATTAATTTTTTAAAGTCTTACTTTTATTTGCTTCCGTAAATGAATGCTTGGATAACGACCGTTCTGTGTATTGATGTTGTTCGCTGTATTCAGACCTCAAATAGCGTGGACCAAGAATAAATGAGACTTCTATTTTCGAAAGTATAAAAAAGTAAAAAAGATATGATTCAGAAGGGGACATTTACAAAATGTTTGACTTCTTAAATTTGACTGCACATATCTGTTAAAAACTCCAGGATTTCTGTTCATCATTGCTTTGAATGTTCGGGTCTTCGAGTTAGGATCGATAAAATAGAAAACCAACCCGAAGCCTAAAATCATTAGTCGAATACTTGAACGTGCACATATGTTATTTACAGCTACGACGATGTCAATCGCTATAGTTAGTAAAGTGTTTGCAAAGTATTTAAACCATTAAAACAAATGAAAATGTTAAAGAACGATTGCTCCACTGAGTAACAGGAATAAACAACATATTTCAACAAGGTCAGCAATGCGTTCCCAGAAACAAGTACGTCATGTTGGAAAAATACGTTGTCTGAAAAATGCCGCTGCCGGAAAATGGAAGACATATCGCAAACGTTTAGAAGCCAGAAAAGCATGGTTGGTTATAATAAAACAGTGAATAATATCTTGCCGAATCTAAAAATAAAAATTTTTCTTTATTAAGAGATTTACTGCTTCGAGATTTTAAGTTCCAATATTAAGTTGCCCGGCATTTTGCACATATCTGTAATATAATGGGACCTCATATTAGATTTACGAAATTGCTATATCAAGATAATTTTGCAGCATTTTAGCCAACTGAGAATAAACCATTTTGTGCTCTTATTTCAGGCAAAACAGTGCAATTCTGACAGGGCACAAACATGTCAGGTAATTTTTTTTCATTTTGCATGTAATTTTGCGCAAATGAGGGCTTCTTTTCTTTGCTTGGCATCATATATTCATAATTTGTAGAAAATAACAAACTGATATTCAGGCTTTTATTATGCCCATTCATGGTAATCTTTGTTCATGGGACAATTAAGCAGTTGAGAATAGAACTTGTTTTCTTGGAAAAACATGGAATATCTTTTGACCATTTTTACCAGGATTGTAAAGAAATGATAGCAGAAATATCTACTATAGCTTGAAAAGTTATTTTTTTTTGCATGATTTATCTGTGACAGTTCAGTTTTGTGCTTATTATAATTTTTTTTTTCGAGATTACTCAAACTTCTTTTTGTCCGCGTTTTCAAAATAATACAAGAAAGAATTTTTTGAGTAAATCATCACACTAATACTACAGCATTTGCAGCAATACACTTTCTCCACCACGATCAACATATCGAAGAATCAAAGAGCCGAAGCAGGTACGCTTAACCCTTATATACATACGCTTAAGCTTTCCGTATACTTTGTTTAAAGCATGGACACCACATGTTACTGATAAAATCGATATTGCTCATTGGTCAGTAGTGATGTAGTTTGCGACAGTAGGTTTTAATTAGTTTTTCATAATGTTCGATAATTTTTTTTTTTTGATTGTTTTCCTATTCAGACTTGAAAATGTGAGAGTACTGCACCAGGTGATGTTAAGACAGTATCAGGTTACAATGATATTCATCTTAACCGTTATTATGCAGGCACATTTTCTGGATTGCAGCGATCTCCGGAGGAACTGGCCGAAAGACAACGTTTGCGAGAACAAAGACGTTTGGAGAAGAAGTTAGCAAAACAAAGAGCATCAACTTCGACACTTCCAGAAATTAGAAAAGAAAAAGTGAAGTTTATTATTTATTGTTCCTAGAAAGTGTGAAACACAGTATAGCGGCAGGTTTACGCATTTATATTCTGGAATTGAAAATCATAGTTTTTTTCGAATAATCGTATTGAAGTAAAAAACCGACAAAGACCTTGTCATGAGCTATTGGGAATGAATATTTCGCTTGTGAACACCATTTTTAAAATCGCTTAATTGTAAGCATAACATATTGTAATTTACGCTTCTATTTATCACACGTTTCGCTTTAAGTTTGGGAGTATTATAATCATCGAAACAATTACGCATTTATTATGCTGGTTACACTTTCATTTAAATATTTCAATTCACAATAGTTATAATTAAGCTACGACCAAGTTCAAAAAATATTCCTTAGCTACTCCCTCCCAGTGCTTCATAGATTCCTTACCGATTAACGATATCTTTCACTTGAGTATGCTTATTTTCGTTCTTTTATGTACTTATCTAATTCCAATTCCCTACTTATGCTTTTTTTTACTGAAGTTAAAACATCATCGCATATCTTTGCCGAGCATTACCCACACTACTTTACATTAAACTGCTTTCAAGATTCCCACTTGTTGTTTTTGCTCATGTATCGAATGGCTCTTTGATTGCATTACTCAATTTACCATGCTTCTTCTACTTTAGGAAGCATATTCTTCATAAGCTTTCATTGTTAAAGTTGAAATCAAGCAATCCCATGGTATTTAGCACTGCACAAATACACTTAAAATGTTTAGTTGGATAAGAAAGTGTGCTTGATGTTTTTTTCCATTAAATAGTCTTCTACTTGATAGAATTAGATCGCTTGCAGTCACTTTCCAACTGTTCTTTGAAAGCACAGTTGCATTAAGATGGATTAATTTTATTTTACAGATTTCCCTTACTTCCTTTGCTAGTAGATGTGCTTGATTATTGTATTTTTTAAAATTGTTTTCTCAAACTGGAGACAAACTTTTGCTTACCAATCATGTTATAGACAGTGCTACTTTACACCGTCAATTTTTAAAATTTAAATGAGCAATTAAGGAATGACGTAATTATAATTTAGTTGCTTACATATACAAACAAAAAAATATGTATGACTTGGAAAATTAATCGCAAAAAAGCCGGTTTTATAAGTCTAGTTGGAGCCCGTTACTCAGTGTAATTCCACTGTATTATTGTGTTCCGATTTTTTTCAGAAACTGAAAGAAGTATCCAGCAGTGGTTCTCCGAAAAGGATATCAGCTGAGCCGAAAATTGCCGCAAAAACAACTAAAGCTAAAAATTCGATGGTAAAAGAAACAGTGAAAGTAAGGTGTTTAATGGTAATTTTAGGTTATCACAACACTTGATTATCATTCTTGATACAGAAGCGACTTGCTTATTATTCCATTAATGAATATTTTCAAATTTCTTCTTAGAATAACAAGTGCAGCGCACAATAAATGTAGCACAGCGAGAGATAGCTGCAAAAAAATAAGTGAATTGAAGGTGATTCCGAAGTTGGAAAATGGATCAAAATCAAAGCATCAGTGTTTAAAAGAAGAAAGACCACTATCAACCGAAGAAGAGAAAAGAAGCCAGTCATCATCTCCAGTAAAGCTTGAACAAAAAAAATTGGTGCAGTCAAAAAAGGTAGTATTCAACCTTTTGTATCATCCAGTCGTCTTAATCTCTTCCAACAAAATAATATCTTACTCAACTTATAGCGAATTATGACGTGAATAAAACCGGCAAGAGAACGTCAGAAAAAAGTGGAAATCGAACAACAAGGAAAAATTTGGATGTTCAGCTTCTGTAAAACTCATTCTTCCAATTATTCTCTGATCTTTTTTTTTCTGGCGACATCTTATTTGCATGTTCTCCATAGATTACAGCAGTTTTCTTCCAGTGAAACCTGCATCAAAGACGTCCTTTGATACTCTACTTCCCCAATAACTCATCGTTAAGTAGTGCGTATTGAGATGTGTGGAATCCGGAGACATCTGAGATTCTTAGATATCTCACAGCATTTAACAGACCGAGGATTTCTCGATGACACTGAGACCATTTGTGGACTTCGACAACCTGTTAACTTCCCAGTGGTATCATATTGGAATTGAACTTCTTTCACCTTTATTTTAATGATGGAAATATAAAAGAGATGGAAGTCACTGTAATTGATTCCGGAACTCGACTAAGATCACAACAACGAATAAGTGGATTTTGTAATTCAGAAGTTATCAAAAAAAGAATTCCATAAAAAAATGGTTTTGGTGAAGATTCTGCTTTCCAGACTAGGTCTTTGTAACAAATCATTAGGTTTATGCTTAAAATTCGATTAGCAAAGAAAAAATTTCCTTTTAACATGTCTTTGATTTTTAAAGCAATAACTAATATAAAATTTTTGATGCTTAAAAATTTGTTAAGTGTAGCTAGGAGATCAAGTAAGACTTCTTAGTGGAGACGACTGACTGGCAGCACTGAAGTAGGCACTGCTCATCAGTTTCTGGAAGGGAAGGCAATGGTCAAAGAAAAGGAAACTGTACAGCTATGACAGTTATTTTTTCGTTTTCATATTCTTTATCCGGTTTCTCGAAACTTCCGTCAAATTCTTTTTATTGATGTATTTTTGTATTATTAAAGTCATAAATGATCATAAACGGCAAATTTGGGTTGAGAACCTGTTAATTGTGGTAGAAGTTTTTTGACCATTCCTCACTCTAAAATGAAATCATCCTGAAAAATCTTCATGAAATTGATGCAATACAATCTTTATAATTCGGAGCAGGTTTTCGTATCTCACGAAGCAATATTCTTTTCGCCGTACCCTTGAATACATTACGCGCTATTTAACAGAGTTTGCTTTATATGTTTTGAAAAATGAATATTCAAACATTTCTGCAAACAAACGATTAAGCAATAAGCATTTCACATTTAGACAGTAAACGAAGAAAAACAGAGTGAAGTTTATGCAAGCACAGGAAAAACTGAGCGAATAAATAAGGAACAGAAGAAGAAAAAGAGAAGTCGACGACCAGATCCTGACAGTCTCTCGTCAGAGCATGATTTCGTCGAAGTATGTCTCATTCTTATTTGGAACTTTGGTTAGTTGCGTATATTTTAAATGATATTCAATTGTTGGATTTTTGTTGGTATTGCAACAGGAGAGGAACAACTACTGTATTTATGAATTATACGCAGAACACAGTTTCGATTTCTAGACATGATTCGGGGGGTTGCGATCCCATCGTAATACAATTCATGCAACTGTTTGTCTGACTTGAACGTGAATTTGTAGCAAATTTAATGTAATGAACACATGTTCCTTATCTTTTATCCTCCTGAAATATTTCACATTCATTATCATTGAGAGCCAGATGTTGCTAGAATTTCAATTTATCCATCTGCTTTTAATTCTTATGTGGCACTTCTTTTTAGATGTGTTCAATTTATGCGTTCATTTATGAACTGGCCTTACACTAACAACAATAGGCGTACTTCAATGTATGGACTGACATCTGATTGATTTTTTCTTCACAGCTATAGGTCGGATTTGACTGCTGTCTGAAGATTTTAGGGAAACACGCGTGAGATGGATTATGAAGAAACAAAAGCTGATCTTACGGAGATAGTGGAGCGACGACAGAAGAAAAAAGGAAGACACCGTGATGAACAACAACCGAAATCCGAGGAATTCACTGGCGAGGTTACTTTTTACAGTGTATTTCGCCCCACATAATGGATCTATTGTCCTGTTTCTTGAATGACCTTATTATTTGCACAGAAAACAGTTCTCATCATTTTCTTTAGTCTTTTAATGTTCAAAATTTAGACTCGAAATCATAATTAGCTCTGTTTCAAAAATATGGAAAATTGGAAAGTTTCATCCTTTTCCTTGATTTTGATAAAAAATATCATAGATAACTTTGCATATTTCTGTTGATCTTCCGTGATTTATTACAACCATCCATCCATTAATTTCTGGATATATTACCTTACTAAAAACAACCAAACAGCAGTACAGTCTTCTCTTATTCAATTTTTAGCATTATTTTCATTGTTTGTTTGTGGTACTTCGTAGATCTCCACAGATGCATCACTTTTTTGCATGAAAACTTTCAATCTCTATCTCTTACACTTCATTTCATGAAGATTTTCAATCTTTGTCTCCTATTTCATTGACGCATCTTTTACGGAGAAGGATACAGTAACTGACTGTTATCTAGGATGTGGATCTGATTTCAATGTTGATAAATCAAGAAGAGTGTCTCAGATACAGAATGATAATATAGCGGGTTCTGAAGCTTCTGAGCAAAAAAAACGACCGTCTTCGAAAATGACCGTGTGACTTTTGTGAAAAACAGCATGCTTCCTTATCGTTATACAAACTTGAAAGGTGATTAACCTAATGAAGCTTTGTCCAAAATACTGAAAGACAGACGAGAATTTGACATGATATTATTATTTTGGTGAAGAAGGATTCAAAAACAAGGAAGTACAAAGTTAGCACAATAGTCAAAAATACGAGGTTAACGCAGAACGAGAACATTTCATCAGAAGAAATTCACATTTGAACAATATCGATCAGATAGCTGTTACCAAAAGCCTGATTAAAATGTGCCCAGTAAACTTATTTTCTGAGAGGAATCTAAAATAAGGTTGGAAAAAATAAGGTATAAGGTATAAGAAAAAAATAAGGTCTCTAAAATAAGGTTGGTGAAAAGAAAATGAATTTCTATCTGGAGATCATGATGATCAGATGATATCTTGCATGTTGACGAATCAAGTCCTAAAGATTATGTTATTTAGCCCCACCAGAAGATTTGGTAAGAATTAAATGAGGAAAATTTACCGAATATTTTTGAGGAAGGTGTTGTTGAGAAAATATCAAAAGGTTCTAACGAGTAAAAAGGGATTATTTTGGAACTAGATTTGAAGATAACTATGTAAATAGTATGCATGCTGTAGGAAGACCAACTGCTCCCATTTTTGCTGCAGTCAACAATTGTTACTTCATTGATTAACCTTAAGAATTTGCATTACAGCATGAATAACCAGATCCCGCATTACTTATTCTATCCTTATTGTTTTTCTTCGAACATAATTACATCCTAAAATACTGAACCACAGTGCAACAAGCTGCGCTTATTAATCGGCTGTGCACATAATTCAGTATTTAGCATCTCTCCCAGAAGTCATTTTAATTTGAACTCCTTATGACTTTTGTGAACAGTTGCTTATATAGCATTTGCTAATTTACAAAATTATTAGCAAAAGGAAGCTGATAAATTGGCGCTAAACTGTGCATGTTTTCTTTACGTATTAGTAAACAGACATTTTAACAAAGTTTTAATAGCAACATGTGGGACTATAACAATTTGGCCAAATTTGTAAAATTTATGGAGTTTATGTTGGGTTTTATTTCTGCTAATTTTATTATTAAAACAGTGTGGATGTTGACTGGTGCGTTTCCAGATTTATTTTGATTCATCTTTACTTTGACTTCATCCGTCTGGATTTCTCAACACTTCTCATTTTTTACAGAAATGTGTCTTTAACTGCTCTTCGTATATAGGCTAATTAATCAATACGATTAGTATTGATTCTCATATGTTATAAATTTATATGGTTAAACATAGAACTAGAAAATTTTGAAACAGCACTGTACTTTAGTGTTCTATGAAATGATTTCAAGAAAATTTGAAATTTTCTGTTTTTGTTTTAGATTAAGGAACCAGAAGAGGACATCTTAGAACAGATTATGAAACAAGAAAAGGATGTTTCAGGAAAGAAAGAGAATAAAGGATTGAATGAGGTTTGTAAAAAGTTATTGTTGTTAGTTTTACAGGCTAAATAAGTTGTATCAGCGTTTTTCATTGAAGATCAGTTATATTTCTTAATTCATACTCTGTTGAGGTTTTTACTTGATATATTGCTGTTTTTTAATTACAAATTATAGCTAGAAGATTTTGTTTTAGGCTATGGCATATCTCGCAAAGGACCAAAGTTGTGCCTTGGAGAGCACAGGATTTAAGACTGAAAAGATAATGGATCACATAATATTCAGCAGTGATAAAATCCCAGAGGATTCAGGCATATTTTACTTTTGTTAGAGAGTTAATTTAATTATTCGTATATGAGTTAAGTATTTTGTTAATGCTGTTTTTTAAATTTTTAATTAATAGATGCAGCTTTCGATCATAGTCACTATTTTCATTTATTAGGAATATCGAATCTTCCGGTATCATTGCATAGTATGTGTTGACTTAATGGATAAAATAATGTAGTAGGTGAACGTCACGCGTCATCAAATGGTAAATGAAAAAGGTTGTTCGACAGGAAGACACGAATAATTTGGATGCTCTGACTTGCAGTGGAAGCAGTGAAATCCTTAACAAATCTTGTGAATGATTAATAAATACAAGCAGCAAATTTTTTGCCAGAAAAAATCATACCATTTTGAACTTGTACTATGAAATGCTTCAGAAATATTATCGAAGACAGAAATGATTATGAAAACATCAATTCCAGAAGAACTGGAAATGAACGTGGCAAGGCTAGCGGAAGAACATCCGAAACTGCTGGGTGTTACAAATCTCAATTTCAGTGGTAATATTACCGGGGTTCGTCACTGTTCTTTAATATTCTGAGGAATTTCCTTGGAACATTCCAAAACTTTTATACCAATATAACATAAAGGAAGCTTAAATTTGGTTTTTGATCGGTGTAGTGCGATCGGTGAGGGCGTAGCATCTATTCTGCATTTGGTACTGCTTAGTCGATTATAATGAACTTTGAATCGCGTTGTTCAGTCTCTGTATTTCCGTAACCTCCGTAACCTTAATCACAAACATTTCTATGTATTACACAGTCTTTTTGAGAAATTGTGTGCACACATTTTGATAAGATACGAATTATTCAGCAAACATCTCTAAGATGTAGATATGTAGAATTGATCAGATGCATAGTAGATGCACTATTCCAAGTCTTCTCCCAATTTACTTTATTAAAATTATAGGATGTGACTATGACAACTTATACAAAGGGAACAAAATGTGACGTCGAGGAAAAGAAGGAACCAATCATTCTGGTATCACAAACAAATGAAGTAAGTCGTATCCTGCCAACTCGTGAACGGGTCTGCAAACTTCTACCGCGTGACATCCAGTTTTGTGTACATATGATTGAGAAACATGGAGAAGACTATGAGGTGATTTTCCTCTTAATTATTTCCCTTTAGTTAAAAAATTCTTTTCGCGTCTTGTCTTATTAATAGTTTCCGTTTTTCGTTATCTTTTGTCGAAATTAATCATTGTTCGCTAGGTCAAGCAAAACCCGCATTAACTAATTGATTCGCAATGTTGTACTAATTATTTTCAGGCAATGGCAAAAGATCAAGGCAATATTTTCCGTGACTCAGTGAAAGGAATATCGCGAAAAATACGAATTTTCAAGGAAAGTCCACAATATGAGACATATTTGAAACAAAAAGCCGAAAAGAATGGCTCGTTCGTGTAGCCGTCTGAATTTTGCTTCGGCATATTTATTCCTCTTATGTCCTAGTATAACGCAAATATCTCTCCACATAAACATTTTCCTGGTCTATGTAAACATTTTCCTTTAGCTTTCATATAATTTTTCTGGATAAGTCTTTATCTGTTCAGAACTGGAGTCTTACAAAAGTAAGTCCGCATTATTTTACTAATGTTTATTATTGTTGTAAAAGAACTTCCGGGGCATATTCTTCCCCACTCATTCTTGCGAAGGTTTGCTGTCGTCAGTTGCATTTGTTATATGGTTTTTTAATATACTTTTCCAGACTAATATATATTATACTTGAGAGAAAATGTTCTTTCTGGATTTTAAAATCTTTTGTGAATAATACTAATGAAGCATCTTCCTGAGTAGAAATAAATGCTTCCTAACAAACACCTAATGGTGTATGTTTTGGCATACGATGTTAGCTGCCACGTCTTCATTGTGTCTCTTCCGGGACCCTGTTTAATTTGCTTACTTGAAACATATTGAAGTTTTTGGCTTACTGTATTCAAAAAAAAAAACCCAGAAGGAAGCATCAACCGACAAGAAGAAGCAAAGTCCAGGAAGATGTCTCCCTCCAGATTTTGAAGGAAGACAACCAATCATTCTGATATTACAGCTATAATAATAAAGTGGAATTGTAATGCAATGTAATACATTTTTGTATTGCAGTCTTTTTTCAATATTTTTTTGGTTTTGTTTAGTTTATTTTAGGGATTTGTTCGGGTTATTACTAATTTGAGGGTAAATCACTGTCAAATATTCTAAAGCTGCAGTGATTTCTACTTATCCAACGTCTTATAAGGTCCACTTCCTTTTAAAGCATAAATGTTTGACACTATGTTTGCATAGTGAATTTTGTGAGGAGAGACTCCTAGAGTTGGTGTCGACTCACACTACAGGTTCACT